TATGCCTATATGCCTCTCACCCTCCAATTCCTTCTCTGAAGCTGGAAATTTTGTCCAAATGTTAAACTATTCAGACAAAATTTCCCAGCTTCAGAGAAGGAATAGGAGCCTACCAGGCACTGATATATAATCAGTGCTTTGTAGGCTCCTATTCCTAATAGAAAGTTCGAAAACTCGGTCGCAATTGCATCTGATTGCGACCGAGTTTTCGAACTTTCCCGAGGGAATTGAAGGGTGAGAGGTATATAGTATGCCTATATGCCTCTCACCCTCCAATTCCTTCTCTGAAGCTGGGAAATTTTGTCCAAATGTTAAACTATTCAGACAAAATTTCCCAGCTTCAGAGAAGGAATAGGAGCCTACCAGGCACTGATATATAATCAGTGCTTTGTAGGCTCCTATTCCTAATAGAAAGTTCGAAAACTCGGTCGCAATTGCATCTGATTGCGACCGAGTTTTCGAACTTTCCCGAGGGAATTGGAGGGTGAGAGATACATAGTCTATCTATGTACCTCCCACCCTCCAAATCCCACTCTAAATGGGAGAAACTTTGTTCGCATGTTATCTTATTCAAACAAAGTTTCTCCCATTTAGAGAAGGAATAGAAAGTTCGAAAACTCGGTCGCAATTGCATCTGATTGCGACCGAGTTTTCGAACTTTCCCGAGGGAATTGAAGGGTGAGAGGTATATAGTATGCCTATATGCCTCTCACCCTCCAATTCCTTCTCTGAAGCTGGGAAATTTTGTCCAAATGTTAAACTATTCAGACAAAATTTCCCAGCTTCAGAGAAGGAATAGGAGCCTACCAGGCACTGATATATAATCAGTGCTTTGTAGGCTCCTATTCCTAATAGAAAGTTCGAAAACTCGGTCGCAATTGCATCTGATTGCGACCGAGTTTTCGAACTTTCCCGAGGGAATTGAAGGGTGAGAGGTATATAGTATGCCTATATGCCTCTCACCCTCCAATTCCTTCTCTGAAGCTGGGAAATTTTGTCCAAATGTTAAACTATTCAGACAAAATTTCCCAGCTTCAGAGAAGGAATAGGAGCCACCAGGCACTGATATATAATCAGTGCTTTGTAGGCTCCTATTCCTAATAGAAAGTTCGAAAACTCGGTCGCAATTGCATCTGATTGCGACCGAGTTTTCGAACTTTCCCGAGGGAATTGGAGGGTGAGAGATACATAGTCTATCTATGTACCTCCCACCCTCCAAATCCCACTCTAAATGGGAGAAACTTTGTTCGCATGTTATCTTATTCAAACAAAGTTTCTCCCATTTAGAGAAGGAATAGAAAGTTCGAAACTCGGTCGCAATTGCATCTGATTGCGACCGAGTTTTCGAACTTTCCCGAGGAATTGAAGGGTGAGAGGTATATAGTATGCCTATATGCCTCTCACCCTCCAATTCCTTCTCTGAAGCTGGGAAATTTTGTCCAAATGTTAAACTATTCAGACAAAATTTCCCAGCTTCAGAGAAGGAATAGGAGCCTACCAGGCACTGATATATAATCAGTGCTTTGTAGGCTCCTATTCCTAATAGAAAGTTCGAAAACTCGGTCGCAATTGCATCTGATTGCGACCGAGTTTTCGAACTTTCCCGAGGGAATTGGAGGGTGAGAGATACATAGTCTATCTATGTACCTCCCACCCTCCAAATCCCACTCTAAATGGGAGAAACTTTGTTCGCATGTTATCTTATTCAAACAAAGTTTCTCCATTTAGAGAAGGAATAGAAAGTTCGAAAACTCGGTCGCAATTGCATCTGATTGCGACCGAGTTTTCGAACTTTCCCGAGGGAATTGAAGGGTGAGAGGTATATAGTATGCCTATATGCTCTCTCACCCTCCAATTCCTTCTCTGAAGCTGGAAATTTTGTCCAAATGTTAAACTATTCAGACAAAATTTCCCAGCTTCAGAGAAGGAATAGGAGCCTACCAGGCACTGATATATAATCAGTGCTTTGTAGGCTCCTATTCCTAATAGAAAGTTCGAAAACTCGGTCGCAATTGCATCTGATTGCGACCGAGTTTTCGAACTTTCCCGAGGGAATTGGAGGGTGAGAGATACATAGTCTATCTATGTACCTCCCACCCTCCAAATCCCACTCTAAATGGGAGAAACTTTGTTCGCATGTTATCTTATTCAAACAAAGTTTCTCCCATTTAGAGAAGGAATAGAAAGTTCGAAAACTCGGTCGCAATTGCATCTGATTGCAACCGAGTTTTCGAACTTTCCCGAGGGAATTGAAGGGTGAGAGGTATATAGTATGCCTATATGCCTCTCACCCTCCAATTCCTTCTCTGAAGCTGGGAAATTTTGTCCAAATGTTAAACTATTCAGACAAAATTTCCCAGCTTCAGAGAAGGAATAGGAGCCTACCAGGCACTGATATATAATCAGTGCTTTGTAGGCTCTATTCCTAATAGAAAGTTCGAAAACTCGGTCGCAATTGCATCTGATTGCGACCGAGTTTTCGAACTTTCCCGAGGGAATTGGAGGGTGAGAGATACATAGTCTATCTATGTACCTCCCACCCTCCAAATCCCACTCTAAATGGGAGAAACTTTGTTCGCATGTTATCTTATTCAAACAAAGTTTCTCCCATTTAGAGAAGGAATAGAAAGTTCGAAAACTCGGTCGCAATTGCATCTGATTGCGACGAGTTTTCGAACTTTCCGAGGAATTGAAGGGTGAGAGGTATATAGTATGCCTATATGCCTCTCACCCTCAATTCCTTCTCTGAAGCTGGGAAATTTTGTCCAAATGTTAAACTATTCAGACAAAATTTCCCAGCTTCAGAGAAGGAATAGGAGCCTACCAGGCACTGATATATAATCAGTGCTTTGTAGGCTCCTATTCCTAATAGAAAGTTCGAAAACTCGGTCGCAATTGCATCTGATTGCGACCGAGTTTTCGAACTTTCCCGAGGGAATTGGAGGGTGAGAGATACATAGTCTATCTATGTACCTCCCACCCTCCAAATCCCACTCTAAATGGGAGAAACTTTGTTCGCATGTTATCTTATTCAAACAAAGTTTCTCCCATTTAGAGAAGGAATAGAAAGTTCGAAAACTCGGTCGCAATTGCATCTGATTGCACCGAGTTTTCGAACTTTCCCGAGGGAATTGAAGGGTGAGAGGTATATAGTATGCCTATATGCCTCTCACCCTCCAATTCCTTCTCTGAAGCTGGGAAATTTTGTCCAAATGTTAAACTATTCAGACAAAATTTCCCAGCTTCAGAGAAGGAATAGGAGCCTACCAGGCACTGATATATAATCAGTGCTTTGTAGGCTCCTATTCCTAATAGAAAGTTCGAAAACTCGGTCGCAATTGCATCTGATTGCGACCGAGTTTTCGAACTTTCCCGAGGGAATTGGAGGGTGAGAGATACATAGTCTATCTATGTACCTCCCACCCTCCAAATCCCACTCTAAATGGGAGAAACTTTGTTCGCATGTTATCTTATTCAAACAAAGTTTCTCCCATTTAGAGAAGGAATAGGAGCCTACAGGCACTGATATATAATCAGTGCTTTGTAGGCTCCTATTCCTAATAAAAATTTGAAAACTTTGGAGCATTTGATTATTGTATTTTGTCAAGAGAAATTCAGCCCTGCGAAGTGCCAGTTCTAGACTGGTGCCTCGCAGGGTTTAATTTCTCATATTGGTAGATTTTGATGTTTTTATATTAACAAAAACGAATGAAAAAGATTTGCTTATATAAGAGGAAACTCTCTATCAGAGGTGCTGAATTCAGGCATTCGCATCTGATAGAGAGTCTCCTTTTATATAAGCGAATATAAAAGAATCTATTCTTTTTTGGTGCGTATTTTCAAATATTGAATACTTATGAAAAGTGTTTTTCCTAAAAATTTAATATAATGCTTAGCACAATATATAAAATTAAAATATCTATAATTATTTTCTATATAACACTTTTCATTACACCTTGAAAAGTCTTCTCAAACTCTATTTTTAATTATTTTTTAGATATATCTCAAGTGTGATTATTCAAAAACTCATATAGACTATATTTATTTTTTTCATTCAAAAAATTATATGAGAATCTCAAATTAACTTTCAAATTTTTTATTTTAAAAAAATATTAATAATTATATTTTAATATACTTTTTTGCCCAAAAAATAATCGTACTTCCTCGACGATTAACAGGCTCTCAATTTCTATCGTTGACACTACTTAGCATGCAACAACATTAGTTAAATCAAGATTTTGATTTGAATTTTTTAGAAAAACGTGATTTATGTCCGTATTTGTAATTATGTCTGATTTGTATTGTTTAATAGAATATGTATGGAAATATATCTCTCTAGTTTTGAGACAGATTACTGAATTGTCTCTTAAAAAGACGTAATTGTCTCTTATAAAAACATCATTTTTTTCGTTGACATAAATTTTATAAAACTCCTTCTATAATTTTCCTCAGAAAGGCGAATAAATTAAGATATTTCTGAATTGAAAGGGATGATTTTAAAATCTTAGTACAAATACTAACTACATTAAGTTGTAGACCGAAAATATTAATGATGGGTACTTTACTCAAAATTTGATAGACTAGCGGCAAAAAATAAATATTATTTGAGAGAGAGCGTATTTATAGTTGACATTTGCAGGAAGCATTATCTTGTCTCGGGGCTATAAATTATTTTTTTCATTTAAACTGAATTTGCTTTTAAGCTTTGAACATTCGATTAATTCAATTATAATTCAACTTAATTTTTTCATGGTAAATCAGGTTCTTTGCACGTTTCTGTTAGTATTTTTCAAAATTCAATTTTTACTTTTCTGATACTATATTTTAGAACCTCATTCAATTTTCTAAATGATACTTACAAAAATGTTTGAAAAAACCAAACCATTGATCACTACCTTGATTTGAAACATTTTGATCGCGCTTGATCTTTAACTTTACAAATTAGACTTTTCATATTTCACTGAAATTTTTGAGAGCAAATTGTATTCATTTTTATTTTAATGCTAGATCAATCAACTAATATCTATAACCAGGTTCTTTTTGGTATTAGCCCTGAAGCCATGCGCCCAATGCAAAAACTCCTATATAAGTTCATTCTAAACGAAATTCCTTACCATGAAGCAGCAATGAAATCCCGTGAACTTATTGGAACATCAGAACATATTGAAAACCTCATGCAACTAATGCAAGTTCCTGATAAACCGCCGGTTGCAGCACAAATCACTCCAGACATGTACTTGGATAAAAAATCCAAGACATGGAGTCAATATGAAGATCAAAGACTATTAGCAGGTATCCACAGAGGAGGAATTTTAGATTGGAACAAGATCAGTGAGTTTGTTGGTAATGGAAGAAACCGTGGTCAATGTGCGCAAAGATGGTTCAGATCATTAAATCCGACAATTAACAAAACAGCTTGGACAAAAGAAGAAGATGATTTATTATTGTCTTTGGTGAAGAAACACGGTCACAGAGGTTGGACAAAAATTGCTAACGAAATTGATGGTAGAACAGATGTTCAATGCAGGTATAGATTTCAAATTATATCAAAGAGACCTTTACCAAAGCGTCCAAAACTCCCAGTTGAGAATAATACTGTTTCAATCCTTCAAACTTCTACTGAAGAAAAAGAAGAAATCCCAGGTGATAAAAAAGTGCCAGATCTGAATAACTTAGATTGCGAAGAACAAATGAATCAAATTGCAGAATTCTGTAATAGCATGCAGCTCCTTGACCTATTGAATGAAGTCAAAAGCGATCCATTCTCTCTTTTGAAACAATATAATGATTAACTTTTTTAAAAATGTATTAAATAAATTTAATTATGATATAATTGGTTGTTCTTTAAGTAGTATTTTTACACATGTTTGTTTGTAAAAATGCAATGTTTTATATAAATTCAAAATCTAAATTTTGAATAATTATTTTTTGAGAGGAGAGTTTCGATTTTTGTGAACTTTCAGAAAGTTTTGAATTCGATCAATTATTTTTTGAGAACAAATTGTTAAATTCATTCAATTGAGTAATGAAATGGCTTGCAGTAAGCACGAGTACCAAACAGCAAATTTTAAAAGAACATATTTTGAATCAATATTCGACGATGTTCATAAAATATATTTTTTTGATTTTTTTTATATTTAGCCATATGATAATATTAAATATTATGGAATAATTTTTATGTTTTATTTAACTTTTCAATTATGACAGAGGTTCGATGTTGCAATAATGACTAGGATAAGAAAAGAAATTGTATTCGCTAGTGATTTTCATATCATTGAATTTTGTTTTCATAGGTGTCTCAATCACTTCTTTTCTTTTACTAATATAAAATGTATGTCATATATATCTGAGCGTCTGTAATATTAATAATTTATCCACATTCAGGCAAATCAGTAAATTAACTCTGTTATAGAGCGAAAATAGATTTTTTCGGTTTTCTCTTCAAATAATTGAAAGATTGATACTATAATATGTTTATTATATTATATAGCATATAATCATGCTATAGCCGAAAATTATAAGTTTTGAGAAGATTGAATATAACACAAATAAATTTGATTATAAGTTAAATTGCTTGTAGTTCTTAATAGGTATTTAATGAGAAATCCAATTTTGCAAAATTCAAATTGAAAGATTGAAAGAACAGAAAAAGTCATTGTTTTCAATTTCGAATATGTTTCAGTGTATTTATAATTATATGGCAAAGAAGATATTTAAACTTGATTTTTGAAGGAAAATTCACAAAATTGAATAGATTTAAATAATTTGTATTCAAAAATAAACTAGTTATTTGAGTTTAGTACGAATGATCTATTCAAACTACAAAGTTTGTAATTTAAAATATTTTGTGAGATCAGATTGAATTAATTCAAGGTTCTTTTCAATGAATATTCATGACCATATTACGCATTTTCGAACATTCTAAACCAAATATATAAAAATGGGAGACGCATGTTAAATTTTCTAGACATAAAGAAGTTGTTTACCGAGTTTTAGCTCTTATCTCTAACAAAAAATTAATTTTTAAAAAAAAGACCGAATACGTTTCACAGCGAGAAAAATAAAAGGCAGATAGAATTTTCTAGACATAAAGAAGTTGTTTACTGAGTTTTAGCTCTTATCTCTAACAAAAAATTAATTTTTAAAAAAAGACCGAATACGTTTCACAGCGAGAAAAAAATAAAAGGCAAGATAGAATTTTCTAGACATAAAGAAGTTGTTTACTGAGTTTTAGCTCTTATCTCTAACAAAAAATTAATTTTTAAAAAAAAGACCGAAATACGTTTCACAGCGAGAAAAAAATAAAGGCAAGATAGAATTTTCTAGACATAAAGAAGTTGTTTACCGAGTTTTAGCTCTTATCTCTAACAAAAAATTAATTTTTAAAAAAAGACCGAATACGTTTCACAGCGAGAAAAAATAAAAGGCAAGATAGAATTTTCTAGACATAAAGAAGTTGTTTACCGAGTTTTAGCTCTTATCTCTAACAAAAAATTAATTTTTTAAAAAAAAGACCGAATACGTTTCACAGCGAGAAAAAAATAAAAGGCAAGATAGAATTTTCTAGACATAAAGAAGTTGTTTACCGAGTTTTAGCTCTTATCTCTAACAAAAATTAATTTTTAAAAAAAGACGAATACGTTTCACAGCGAGAAAAAAATAAAAGGCAAGATAGAATTTTCTAGACATAAAGAAGTTGTTTACCGAGTTTTAGCTCTTATCTCTAACAAAAAATTAATTTTTAAAAAAAGACCGAATACGTTTCACAGCGAGAAAAAATAAAAGGCAAGATAGAATTTCTAGACATAAAGAAGTTGTTTACCGAGTTTTAGCTCTTATCTCTAACAAAAATTAATTTTTAAAAAAAAGACCGAATACGTTTCACAGCGAGAAAAAATAAAAGGCAAGATAGAATTTTCTAGACATAAAGAAGTTGTTTACTGAGTTTTAGCTCTTATCTCTAACAAAAATTAATTTTTTAAAAAAAGACCGAATACGTTTCACAGCGAGAAAAAAATAAAAGGCAAGATAGAATTTTCTAGACATAAAGAAGTTGTTTACCGAGTTTTAGCTCTTATCTCTAACAAAAAATTAATTTTTTAAAAAAGACCGAATACGTTTCACAGCGAGAAAAAATAAAAGGCAAGATAGAATTTTCTAGACATAAAGAAGTTGTTTACCGAGTTTTAGCTCTTATCTCTAACAAAAAATTAATTTTTTAAAAAAAGACCGAATACGTTTCACAGCGAGAAAAAAATAAAAGGCAAGATAGAATTTTCTAGACATAAAGAAGTTGTTTACCGAGTTTTAGCTCTTATTTCTAACAAAAATTAATTTTTTAAAAAAAAAGACCGAATACGTTTCACAGCGAGAAAAAATAAAAGGCAAGATAGAATTTTCTAGACATAAAGAAGTTGTTTACCGAGTTTTAGCTCTTATCTCTAACAAAAAATTAATTTTTTAAAAAAAAGACCGAATACGTTTCACAGCGAGAAAAAAATAAAAGGCAAGATAGAATTTTTCTAGACATAAAGAAGTTGTTTACCGAGTTTTAGCTCTTATCTCTAACAAAAAATTAATTTTTTAAAAAAGACCGAATACGTTTCACAGCGAGAAAAAAATAAAAGGCAAGATAGAATTTTCTAGACATAAAGAAGTTGTTTACCGAGTTTTAGCTCTTATCTCTAACAAAAATATTAATTTTTAAAAAAGACCGAATACGTTTCACAGCGAGAAAAAAATAAAAGGCAAGATAGAATTTCTAGACATAAAGAAGTTGTTTACCGAGTTTTAGCTCTTATCTCTAACAAAAAAATTAATTTTTTAAAAAAAGACCGAATACGTTTCACAGCGAGAAAAAAATAAAAGGCAAGATAGAATTTTCTAGACATAAAGAAGTTGTTTACCGAGTTTTAGCTCTTATCTCTAACAAAAAATTAATTTTTTAAAAAAAAGACCGAATACGTTTCACAGCGAGAAAAAATAAAAGGCAAGATAGAATTTTCTAGACATAAAGAAGTTGTTTACCGAGTTTTAGCTCTTATCTCTAACAAAAAATTAATTTTTTAAAAAAAGGACCGAATACGTTTCACAGCGAGAAAAAATAAAAGGCAAGATAGAATTTTCTAGACATAAAGAAGTTGTTTACCGAGTTTTAGCTCTTATCTCTAACAAAAAATTAATTTTTAAAAAAAAGACCGAATACGTTTCACAGCGAGAAAAAAATAAAAGGCAAGATAGAATTTTCTAGACATAAAGAAGTTTTTACCGAGTTTTAGCTCTTATCTCTAACAAAAAATTAAATTTTTTAAAAAAAGACCGAATACGTTTCACAGCGAGAAAAAAATAAAAGGCAAGATAGAATTTTCTAGACATAAAGAAGTTGTTTACTGAGTTTTAGCTCTTATCTCTAACAAAAAATTAATTTTTTAAAAAAAGACCGAATACGTTTCACAGCGAGAAAAAAATAAAAGGCAAGATAGAATTTTCTAGACATAAAGAAGTTGTTTACCGAGTTTTAGCTCTTATCTCTAACAAAAAATTAATTTTTTAAAAAAAAGACCGAATACGTTTCACAGCGAGAAAAAATAAAAGGCAAGATAGAATTTTCTAGACATAAAGAAGTTGTTTACCGAGTTTTAGCTCTTATCTCTAACAAAAAATTAATTTTTAAAAAAAAGACGCGAATACGTTCACAGCGAGAAAAAAATAAAAGGCAAGATAGAATTTTCTAGACATAAAGAAGTTGTTTACCGAGTTTTAGCTCTTATCTCTAACAAAAATTAATTTTTAAAAAAAGACCGAATACGTTTCACAGCGAGAAAAAATAAAAGGCAAGATAGAATTTTCTAGACATAAAGAAGTTGTTTACCGAGTTTTAGCTCTTATCTCTAACAAAAAATTAATTTTAAAAAAAAGACCGAATACGTTTCACAGCGAGAAAAAAATAAAAGGCAAGATAGAATTTTCTAGACATAAAGAAGTTGTTTACTGAGTTTTAGCTCTTATCTCTAACAAAAAATTAATTTTTAAAAAAAAAGACCGAATACGTTTCACAGCGAGAAAAAAATAAAAGGCAAGATAGAATTTTCTAGACATAAAGAAGTTGTTTACCGAGTTTTAGCTCTTATCTCTAACCAAAAATTAATTTTTTAAAAAAAGACCGAATACGTTTCACAGCGAGAAAAAAATAAAAGGCAAGATAGAATTTTCTAGACATAAAGAAGTTGTTTACCGAGTTTTAGCTCTTATCTCTAACAAAAAATTAATTTTTAAAAAGACCGAATACGTTTCACAGCGAGAAAAAAATAAAAGGCAAGATAGAATTTCTAGACATAAAGAAGTTGTTTACCGAGTTTTAGCTCTTATCTCTAACAAAAAATTAATTTTTTTAAAAAAAGACCGAATACGTTTCACAGCGAGAAAAAAAAACAAAGGCAAGATAGAATTTTCTAGACATAAAGAAGTTGTTTACCGAGTTTTAGCTCTTATCTCTAACAAAAAATTAATTTTTTTAAAAAAAGACCGAATACGTTTCACAGCGAGAAAAAAATAAAAGGCAAGATAGAATTTTCTAGACATAAAGAAGTTGTTTACCGAGTTTTAGCTCTTATCTCTAACAAAAAATTAAACAACTTCTTTATGTATAGAAAATTCTATCTTGCCTTTTATTTTTTTCTCGCTGTGAAACGTATTCGGTCTTTTTTTTAAAAATTAATTTTTTGTTAGAGATAAGAGCTAAAACTCGGTAAACAACTTCTTTATGTCTAGAAAATTCTATCTTGCCTTTTAT